AAAAAAAGTAAGGTTTTCTTGATCTCGCTGAGTGTGTGTGTGTGTGTGTGTGTGTCTCCACCTTGGCCAGTCCTCCCAGCACTTCCAGGGCAGACAGACAAACTGCTGAATCATTCCTCCACTGAGACGTCAGACGCTGAGTGAGCAAACGTAGAGATTGAACCCACAAAACTGCCACTGCATCTGATTGGACGCACATTACTGCAGTTAGATTCTTCAGATGTGAGGGATTGATAATATAAAACAAATTTAACTGAATTGATTTGTAATTACTCGATCCTCTGGTCCATCGGTTTGTACTGGTCTGACTTGCTCCCAAAGCCTGTTTGAGTTTACTGGTCCCAGTAAGCAGGGGCTCAGTTTCCTGAAAGCAAAAGCAAAGAAAAAAAACCTGTTTTTGTCTCATAAAATGAAGACAAATGTAAGTACATGTCCCTAGATATCAGTAAACTCACTTGTTGAGTTCGTCTTGCAGGCTCTGACACAGCTGAATCCTGAATCAGATTCAACATGGCCGCTATGCAAACACCAGATCAGAAGTGAATACAATGGAAAAATCTTTCACATCAAACACTCAGACATGAACTTCTGTTAACTGGCTCAAAAACTGACCCCGGGACCAATAATTAAAAGAATCAGTAACTAACCCAGGAGGAGCTGTATGTTGCAGGTGTCTGCCTCTGTCTGCAGAGCTCCAATCAGGACACTGATAAGGCGTGGCTTCAGCAACAGGAGGGTACCTGTTGCAGCATCAGCGCTTAACTTCCTATCCAGTAACTCCTAAGCAGCAAAGTGAACACTACTGCTACAGTGATCCGGCTCAGCTCTGCTCAGGCAAGGGTACGTTTTTAAGCAAGTGCATGTTAAGTTACCTCTAACTGGACTGATCCAAAGTGCGTAGGGATGGGCAGCAGGGAAAGCAGGACAAGGATGGAGGCTCGCCTTAAATCCACCGGAGTGACAAAATTCTTAAACTTCAGCAGCTCTCTGAGTGAGAGAGAGTATGAGAGAAGCCTTTGGTTTAGTAATATTTACCGTCGTTGAGATTCAGGTGAACAACAAAATCCAACAGCCCGAAATCCTGGTAGGTAATAGCGTCTATCAGCATCCATGAGCTCATGACTCAGCCTCCAATCAACTTGCCAAATTCCATAAATGAATTTTACCAATTGACAATTCCAATTTTAAGTTTGCTTTACAACCCATTCTTCCTCTGAGTTAACGTCTAACATTACTAATGTCGGCTTTATTCTGCTATTTTAAAAAAACTAAAATAAACTTTTCTCATTGAACAATTACAGTATTTGCAGTACTTGCACCTGTCGAGCAGCACATTTTCCAGAGCTGAGATAAAGGGAGGTAGCAGTATGTTGACTCCTCTTAGGTCACAGCAGAACAGAGAGGTGGAGTTCAGCAGAATGGAGGCCAGAACAGGGGAACTGGCCTTCTCTGACACTTGAAGACCCTGTATCAAAACCAGGTAGAACCTTGCAGAATAAGAGATGGAGAACCATAATCATTACACTGCTCAAAGATGGGTGGATAGCTCTGAACAGGTGAACAGACAGGTACCTGGACAGGTAGACAGACAGAATGTCCTCTGCCGTCTTCCTGCAGCTGAAGATCCTGCAAAGTGTCCCGCAAGCCTCAGCTCGACCTGCCGCCCATCCATTTGACATCACAGCAACATCACCCTGCCCAGCTAGAGAAGACAGTTCAGTAAGTAAGATATGGAAGCACAGAAAGACTACACAATGTCCTACTATGTGTACGTGTAGTATGTGTTTTGCGTAAACAATACTGCAGAGACAAACCAGAGTCTCTGCTGATTAGTGCAGCATCGAACAGCCAGCAACCAAACAGATGTAGAAGGGAGTCCACATTACACCTGAGGGGTGAGGGAGAGGGTCTGAGAGACGAACAAAACAGGGAGGAGAAGGAAGGAAGCTGGGAGAAAGATTTCCAATGGGGTGATGGAATCTGAAAGAAAGGAACAAGCAATAAGTTAAAGAGATCAAGAAGTGCTACATGACAAATGAAAAAGAAGTACTGTGGTACCGTGGGAGTCTTGGTGGTTGTCTTGGAAAAATTTGCTGCTGTCACTTGTCTGTTGTATGGAGGGGAGGAACTGGTTGAGGAAGCGGAGCTTTGCATGCTCAGTACATTCACTGGTGTGGGTGGTGCACTGCCAGAGCGAGGCCGGGAGATACCTGAGAAAAAAAAGGAATAGGGGCACTTGAGCACCATTTTGCTGATATTTACAAAAAGAAAAAAAATGTGCAAGTGGCTTTAATCTTCTCTCATTGGTGTATCAGAGTTATAAGTGGGGATTTGGAAAGGTCAGAGTTTCACTTGTGAACAAAATAGACTAGGCCTAATTCAATTTGACAAAGACTTTAAGGAAGACAATAGCAGCCCATCAAGTGGTAGCACTGTTGAGGAGAGAAAAGAATATGTCTTTATGTAATATATGTTATATTTCAGGAAGCCTGATGGCCACAAGCTTTTTAGCTTGTTTTCCAAGTAATATCCATTCATCCTGCTATTATCTTGTGCTTAAGTTGGGTCGTGGGCGCAGCGATGATCCTTCCAGAAGTCCTGCAATAGTGAAAATCTGCTCCACTGTTTCGTGCCCAGAACAAAATCTGGTCAGTGCCTCATTTCAGCACCATCGAATAAACTTTCTCCAGAAGGCTGAGAATGGTAATAACCCAATAATTGGAGCAAACCCCCACCCCACCAACATAGCAAACCATCACCCTGATCTGTCACTCTACAGTGAAACTGAACTGAACTGAAGTCAGTGGTTATCTGTGGAGCTTACCATAGGAGGGCAGACGGTCTCTGAACGGGCTTTTGGTCACAGAAATCGCTAGGAGGAAAAAAGAAAAAGAATTACCAAGCTGAAATAGTTAAACCAAAGCATCGTTGCCAATTTGGCCTAACAAAACATACATAAATAAACAATAAAACAATAATAATAATAATAATAATGATAAAATCTCTAGAATATTTATACATTGTCGATCTAATAAAGGTTTGGGTCGGGTTGTACTTCATGGTGCTAAACTAAATTAAGTGAAATTAAGCATGGAGAGGTCTACTGACAACCAGTGTTGGGTATGATGCGTTACAAAGTAACACATTACTGTAATCACATTGCATTTTTAAGTAACACAGTAATGTAACATGTTACTGCCATTATTCAGTAATTACAATGATCAATTACAATATCAAGAGAATTACAATTATCTTGTTACTTGCATTACAAAAGGTTCTTCATTTATCTCCATGAGCAGCTCACAGAAAGAAAATAAAAACATCAAACATACATGCTTTGTCATTGTTACGACCCGGCTCAAAAGCCGCAACATAAAAAAGGAGATGAATACCAGAGTATGGGTGAGAAGAGGTTTTATCTTAAAATGGAAAACCAGGTTGGCTAATATGGCTGATGCCACCAAGGCAAAGACAAGTTTATCGAGTCCATCAGGAATTGAGCGGTGCTCCAAGTGGCAAAGGAATACCAGTCAAGAGCAAGGACGGCCGCCTCTTAACAACGGCGGAGGAACAAGACCGATGATGGGTCCAACATTTCGAGGAAATCCTGAATCAACTGGCACCTATGTGGACGATACCCATAGACGCCTTCTGCCCCCTGGATAACCTTCCAGTTAACGTTTGTCCAATTACCGTTGCAGAGACAAAAGCCGTGATTCAGTCAATGAAGGCTGGCCGGGTCCCGGGGTTGGACGAGATTTTGGTTGAAAAATGGCGGCGACCTTATAGTCGATAAACTTATGGCCCTGCTCAATCACTGCTGGGAGACAGTTCTGAAAGATTGGAGGAAGGATGTCATCATGAAACTGCCGAAGAAGGGTGATCTTGCTGATTGTAACAACTGGCGTGGGATAAGTCTCCTTTCCGTTCCAGGAAAGGTTCTGTGCTCCGTGCTTGTCACGGTTGACGCTGGCCAACCGTGGGGATGTTAGGAAGGAGGACCCAGGCATGGAGATCTGAATATAAGCAGTGTGTTTATTTACAGTGAATGGAAAAATAACAATAATTCCTCAGTGCATTCCCGACTCCCGTGTCATGTCCTCTTCCCAGTGCTAGTGTTCCTTGTCTCCGCTCCTCAGTGTCTGAGCACCCAGTCCTTGCTGCCCTCTCGTCTCCACGCTTCTCGTGAAGTCACTCAATGATCCAGTGTCGGAGGGAGCTCCATCGCACTCTTAAGTAGCTCCTCCGACGAGGCTTGATCAGCTGTGTGATGGTCTCCAGGTGTGGCCAACCACCTGGCAGGGCCACACCCACCAGGCCTGAAGGTGCCTGTAAACAGGTGCTCTCAGAAACTCCAGCATCCACACACACACACACACACACACATATACCTGCAAGAAGGGAGAACGAGGGACAGCACACCAAAAATACACATGTCCATAATTGCTTAGGGACCCTGGTGCGCTCAGACCCAGGACACTGACAGTGCTACTCTGACGTCTTTTTGTGCTACGGACAATAATCGATCAAAGTGCCGAGCTACAGCAACGACTGTCAATCAATTTCATAGACTTTACAAAAGCGTTCGACAGCGTGCATCAAGAAACGATCTGGAGAATTGCCAGGTCCTACGGCATACCGGAGAGGTTCGTTAGCCTCCTGAGAAACATCTACCACGAGTCAAGCTGCTGCTGATTTCGGACTCGTTCGAGATCAAGACGGGAGTCCGACAAGGCTCGGTTATATCGCCGTTTCTGTTTGTACTGGCTGTGGATTTCATTTTGCGGCATACCCTGCGGGACAGGGAGCATGGAGTCCAAAGACACGACGGACGACAAATTGCAGATCTTGATTTTGCGGACGACATTGTGCTGCTTAGATCTACTCAACGCTCCATTTGTGATTTGACCACCATGCTGGAAAATGAAGCGTCAAAGATTGGCTTGCGGATCAGCGCTGCAAAAAGCAAAGTCATGCGGATCGGTTAGGCCAGAGCAAATACTCCGGTACTCGTTGGCCACCGCCTGCTTGATGAAGTCAATCAGTTCACTTTTCTGGGCAGTGTGATAACACCGAACAGTAGCTCAGACAAGGACGTCGCCTGTCGGCTTGAAAAGGCAGCATCGGCCATCTCGATATCATCCAAAGTCCATTTGTTCAATACGATACGACGGCAACAATTACCCGACGACTGAATGTTTTCCAACAGCACGGCCTCTGGCAGATTCTCAAAATTTCACATCGAGATCATGTTACCAACGAGGAGGTCTTTCAGCGCACTGCCTCACAACAGCTAGCAGACGTGGCATTGGAGCGACGATTTCGTTTCGCCATCATGTTCTTCGCCAACATCCAAAATGATTACCGAAGATAGCCATGTCATGGAGACCTGTCACGGAGCTGCGGACGACCAAAACAGACGTGGAGACGGTCATTCATTGAGGGCCTGAAAGCGGTCGATCTTTCATGGGATGAGGCTGAAGATGTGGCTGCAAACCAAACTCATTGGCGAGCCCTTGTGGCCCAATGCGCCATCCGTCGCAGGAGGAACTAAGTCTAAGTAGAACAAGGAGCAGTCTACAGTGGCGATACGGAGATATAGACTTTACTATTACACAAAATAGTAAGGCAGATGTTGAAGTGGAGGATGCCATCCTGTACCTCCTACATAGAGCCCACTCTCACCTGGACAAGGGAAAAAGCATGGTCAGGATCCTGTTTCTTTACTTTTCAGGTGCCTTTAATACCATCCGGCCCTGTCTGCTTCAGGAAAAACTAAACAGGATGCAGGTGGACTCCTGCCTGGTCGCTTGGATCTTAAACTACCTCACCAACAGACCACAGTACGACAGGCTGAAGGACATCACGTCTGACACTGTGGTCAGCAGCACAGGAGCAGGACAGGGAGCTGTGCTGTCCCCTCTTCTCTTCACCCTGTACACCTCTGACTTCTGCTACAACTCTGAATTATGCCACATTCAGAAGTTTGCAGACGACACAGCCATCATGGGGTGTATCTGGGATGACCAGGAAGAGGAGTACAGGACTCTGGTGAGGAACTTTGTCACATGGAGTCACACACACCACATGCAACTCAACACCTCAAAGACCAAGGAACTGGTTATGGACTTCGGGAGGTCCAGACCAGGTCCA